TGGACTTGAAAACATACATATACAATCTTGCAGCATTTTGCTGGTTTGTGATTAAGTCCTCCTCCTGTTTTCTGAAGACACTCTCAAAACAATGTCGACTCAAAATATCCCCATCAAATGGCCGGAGTTTTCATGGTTTTCTAACATCTACCTTGGTTGTGTCTACCTTGGTTGTGTCTTGCACGTATGTTATGGATCTTGTGACGAATTTTACCATCCACATTCGAAGTCTCAACATTTATGTGTGCAAGTATTTAACCACAGATTCACCTTTTTGAAAATGCAAATACTCTGTCAACAAATTATACACTTCGCTTATTTACCAACTAGTTTATCGATTGTTCATTGAATTGCCTATTCTTAAAAGTGAACAATTACCTAAAACATGACACTGACGTCATTTCAGGATTAACAAGATGAATTCAAGGAAAGCAAAGGACAACCACATTTCGTCACTAACAAGCAAAGGCATGCATGAAAAAGATCAATATAACGAAAAGTGATCGATCTCAAAAATCCGTAACCAATACATATGTGAAGAGGGCACTAAACGGCCCCCTAGGAATTCCAGAGGTTGGATCAGGTGCCTAGGAGGAGAAAGTATCCCTTGATGACCGGTCAACCCCGCCGTGAGCCCCATGTGTAGATCGGGTGGACGGGGCATTCCGTAGTCAAATTCATTATTAAACAAAAGCCTAATAATTGGTATGGACTCTTGATGCAGCCAGGCTTCTCAATCTGGGTGATTCTGGAAATAACTTCTAAGTTGACCATTGTTGGAGGGTACATTGAACAGAACGCGTCAAAGACAGTCATCTGGTGCTGCAGTGTTTGACGATCTTCATTAGAACTGTCTAGATAAAGGTCTTAAGTTCTTTGTATAATATTTTCCTACTGAAACTAAAAAATACATAAAAATATTAGCAATAGCATAATTTCAACGTTTCATCAAGGCCTAGAACGGAGATCATTGATTCTAATAAGTCTGGCGTAATACTGACAGAACTTTCAAAAACATTGGTGTTGTTTAACGAGTCATTGATTGTGTACCGTTTTACGCCCGTTCGAAGATTTTTCACATATTTTTTTTGCTTGTTTGTTAATGTTTAACGTCCCTCTCGAGAATTTTTCCACTCATATGGAGACGCCCCCACTTGCCGGTGGAGAGCTACAAATTTTGACCTATTCTCGGCACTTAGGGCCATTGAGCAGTGACACGGGATCGACCTCGGTTTATACGGTCTCATCCGAAGGACGGGTCTCCACGTCCCACAGTGGGATTCGAACTCGCGACGTTTTCACTTATATAGAGACATCACCATTTACCGGTGAAGTGCTTCAAATTTAGACCTTTACTCGGCATCAGGACCATTAAGCAGTTGAAGGATCTTTTTCCTGCCAACACCTACCGTAACGCGTCATCTGAAGGACCCGCAACTTTCACTTCAAAGTGCCGAGCACTTGGCTAAGAGGCAGTTACTTCCTATTTTTTATCGACGTAGGTAAGTCGCGGCCGTGATACGAAAACACTACCTTCAGATTGAGCGCTCTACCAACTGAGCTACCGTGACGGTCTTGTAGCAGATGAAACTGATCAGAGGAAGAGGAAGTAAGCATGTTTAGGACTTAGTGAGCCATTAGAGCGCTTTATTTGCATGCGACTTTACTGTGATAAAGGGAAATAAATCCAAATTTATACTATTATATTAAAATTATAGACTCGAATTTTTGGCCTTTAATACCGATAAATCGGGGGAGTATTGTCTTTCGATTTATATATTTTAAACATCATTGGTACTTGAAGATAACCAATTTGTTTTTTTTTTCTCAATTAAGCTTCGCTAATTATCAACGAAAATTCCTCAAAAAATTCCGGAAATCATCTGGATTTTTTGGATTTTACAAATCTTGCGCGTGCGCATTACATTCACATTAAGTCACGGTGTTCAAATCAGAGAAGACAAAAGTACTAAGCAGATATATATTTGTTATTTTATAATTTCTCTAATAAGAAATCATAAATATATATGAGCAGAACATATAGTAAATTTCCAATGAAAATTTACACGTATTTGTATTATCGTTTCTGAGTTTATCCATGCAAATGTGATATTGTGGTCACGTGGGTAATCATTCGCCATCTCGGAGACGCATTTATTATATGTTATTTATGTCTCTGGCCATCTCAACGGAGGCAAAAAGCTCATGATCGTAGGAGCAATATTAATGTTATTACCCGATTTTATTTTATCCTTCCTTTGTTTTATGCTTTTTTGAGGGAAAAGGCTGGTGGGGGGGGGGGGTGTTACAACTCCAGCTAGAATCACATCTTAGTGAAGTAGGCATTCTTTTCCGCCAAAAATTACAATAACATTATTTTCATTTCTAAACTTTGAAATAAATCGAAATAATCAAATAACGTCAATATAACCGATATTTTCAATTTGAAATGTGTCTAAATGATTGCAACTTGAATTGTTCGCCATGTTTACTATTACCTTCACTGCTGAGATTTATAACGCGGTAAATATGGAACATAAACTAAGGGCAAAGAAATATTTGATTCCATGCAAAAAAATTCACATTATATTTCTTAGGAGAGTGTAGTGAAATTAATAGCATTATTGTAGGCTTTAAGCTTTGTTATGAAAATACATGTAATGACCTCTTACCCTGGTCTGTCAACAATACGGTGAACACCCCCCTGAGTTACCTGGGGCCCAGGTATAACCAGTCAAATCCTATAGCCATGTTGTCAACAACACGTACTTCTTGTCTTTTATGCCTTTGTGTTTATTGTCCTGCCTGTTTACCCGCGTGTATGTCCATGCATATGTACCATGCATTCGTAGCTGTTATTTAAATAATAAAATGCTTTCTCAAGTGGTTCATGTGAGATATGCATGACACTAGCATAAAAGTAGCATTGCAGAAAAAAAACATGTAAGCCGTATTAGCGAATTATGTAATTTTTCTGCAATGCTTGCGCCGTGCATTTCCCACGTGAACCATCAAAGAAAGCATTTTATTGTTTATATTTAAACTCACCTCAAAAAATTTAACTTTCAAACAAAAAAGTGGGTGAAATATGTAAATTATTGTTATTGATCTTCAGTAAGTTATATAGAAGGGACAGCCTATTCTTCTAAATATGTAAAGGTTGTCATGGTAACTACGCTTGATAGGTAGTCTTAAGTCAGCCCTTGCGGCCCGTATAGTTCATTCTATCAATGCTGCTAAAATATCGATCGTTTGTAAAATATAATCCATGCATAGTAAATCTCAAAACTATGAGGTGGGACAAAATTAAGATCGTAAAAAATATTTATTCATTGATGAAATGAATTATATTTAATCGTAGCAAACAAACTAACGTTTTATTAAATCCCCACAAGAAAAAATACACCAGCGTGAAAACAAGTCTTCTTCAGCAGCCATGACAGTTCTCATGTGATGTAATGACTTTTGATTGAAAACGTTTAATACTGCAGTAGATTAACTTTTGTTATCACTAAACAGATATATAAATGTTTATGAGGTAACTATGTATTTTATTTTTGCTGCATTATTTACGTATGAAGTAAGAAAAATTCCCATATTCAGTTCAAGATCCGCTCCAAAATTCTCATTGGCTGTCCCAAAATAATATCGGCCAAGGTCAGTAAACTTGAAAGTTTGCGGTAAACTCAGACTTTACTAAATATTTTAGAAAAAAATTATGCACTGAATAATTACACCAAAAACATTTATTTTAAAATGTTTCTGATTACATTGTATGATTTCCATTAAATAATGGAAATGATATTGTATGATCCAAAAAGAATTGTAACCCCCACCCCCAGGAAAAGGCTTCATTATTGCAGCAAAAAGTACTTTCAAGTTCCTACTTTCCTACTTGGATACCCTTGGTAAATGTCCGATAGGCACAAAGATGCATTTAAAACAATGTCAACCCGTGCACGCACGGGTCAAAGTCTAGTGTTTATAATTTTAGTTGGTTAGTAAAACCTCCCTACATCCATTCTGCGATGAAAATAATTCTTCCGCCTTTTGAAAATTTAAACTCACAATGAATTAAGTCGCCATTTTTATTTCGATTAGTATGTTGTAAAGTGGAAATAATCGTTAGTTACATTAAGAGTAAGTTACTACAATATCTGACCGATACATCGTTTGTTAGGTAGGTTTCAAAAGAATGATATGACGATCGATTTACTTAGTTTTTTATGATTATATTAAATAGGCCTTTCAACTTAATTTTCAAATTTGTGAAATTGGGGAAAAAATGAGATATAAAGGTTCATAGGTGCATGAAATGTTAAAAATTAACTGTATTTTATTTGTGTAATTAATGAAATAATAAAAAATGAAAAATTCTTTTATGGGTGTAAATTATATTCTGTTTTAAAGAAGGATAACTCAATACTAAAATAGCGACTATGATCAGTGTTGCAAGAGTTATCTTGCATGAAAATAACATATAGGCTGTTTCAATATCTTTTGTTTTTACTATTACCTTAATTAGCTACATACATATAATTACATTAAAATTACGTGGTTTTAAAAAAATTAATAATACATCTCAGGAATTTATCTTAGAAAATATTAATTTCAAAGATAAATACAATAATAACATCAACATCCAATAGGCATCAGCATCTCAAAACTGATTCATGGTTCGGATGCAACTGAATTTGCACAGCATTTGGATCGTTTCGTGTAATTAGCACACCAACTACATTGAAAACGAGGCTTACCTGGCGTGGTGGGGAAGAAAATGATCGTGGTACAGTTCATGTGGTAATGTCGATTTATTCATTATGAACCTGAAAAGATATATATATATTTAAAATATTTTTAATTCTATCTTACAATATATGTAGATCTATTAGCACATAAACAATATACCACTGTTTTCATGAAGATAATGGATGCCAGATAAATAACATGACATTGAATGTTTTTTCTGCAGATATATCAGGAAAAAATAAATATTAACATAGAAAATAGAATGAAAAAATGCGATTATGGAAGGATTCACAGATGTACATGCTTCATTTTGTGAAAATCGTCAGGATTTATAGTAGAACGGGGAAGGGAAAAGGATGATGGAAAAAAACAAAATTACAGGTATTTCATGCATTTTATGTGATTTTTCCCAAAATATTTAGTGGGTTACTTTTGTGCATACCATACATTAGTGAATAGCATCTAATAAGAGAATTCCTTTAAATCCAAACAATAGAGAGGTTAAGCATTTGACCGTGTGCGTCTACGTGTATGTGTAAACCTAGAAGTGTTTTTACAAGTACACGTAACTAACATCGTGTTCTGTTTAACAATCTGTACTTGTAGCAGTACGTGTAAAATGTCATTTCAACAAGTCACTTTACAATCCATTCGTATCAAATAATTTTATGACTTTGATTAAAAAAGATACATAGATGTACGTAATAAACTCTCAACATCACAACAAACACAGTCTGAAAAACATATATTCTATACTTTCTGTTTAAGAAGCTGCACGTTCTTTCCTACGTGTACATATGAATGTACATGTTGTGTACAACTTGTAGAATTACGCGCTATGCAAAACTGATGACATAAATCGCAGTTAATTAGGGGATTTCCCTAGCTACACGTACACGTAGACGTACACGGTCATCTGCTTAACCTCTCTATTGTCTAAGAATGAACTGCTGGACTTTGATATTTTCAAATTTGATTTTTTGTATGGTTTGCACAGTTAACCATGATACCCAGTAAGTGCCATTTTTTGTGAGAATCAAATTTTTTCTGAACTGTCAATTTTTTTTTTTTACCATAAGAAAACTTGATCACAGGTTGTTTCTGTTTGATGTCTATGAATCCTTGTCACAATTTCCAGAACTATGATGAGATGTGGGAGCCGAAATAATGCCAATGAGGAGGAGATAATTAGAAACAAGAATTTCAATGGGATGCAGTTTTCCTTTAGAGCTGAAGAGGGTCAAATGTTTTTTTGTCGGAAGGTATGTCTTTGAAACGGAGTGTTTTAATAGCACTTATTTTTTCTTTCACAGCTGCAATTTTTTCCTTTTTAGTTGAAAAACATTTTAAAGCTGTCCAAATTTCATCCTCTGATTTCCATAAATTTTCTAAATGATGTTTGGAGATAATTTCTTTTTTCTGTTGTGTTTCTCTCTTCTTGGCGATTTCTTTTTCCCTTTCTTTGATGATGTTTAGATGTTTTATGTGCAATGATTTTTGTCTTTGTTTTACTGTCTGAAGATAAGATTTATTTAATTTTCTTGCTGTTGTAATAATTTCTAAGTTTGAGTCTTTGCTATTTAGCCACTGATGAGTTTTGTTATTTTTGTACATGATAATACTTTCGATGTTATTTGTTGATGCAATGTGCGCTTGTTTTACACAGTTATCTAATTTTGCCATTAGTCTTTCTACAGTTATATTATTTGCAGGACATGAAGCAGTTTCTGGGAGAGAAGCTGAAGATGCTGAGAAAAATTTTCCATTTTCCAAAAAGTCATTAAAGAGTTTAACACATTTGACACGGAGAGCCTTACAGAATATGGAAATAAAAGCTAAAGTTAGTGAATCAAGATCAGATTCTCGAAACAGTTCCAGCTCAATATCACTGAGAACATTTGATGGACCTTCCAGCAAAGAGACTGAATTTTGAAGGAGAAGTAGTGGATTCTCGGAACAGTTGTGTAAAAGTTCAACAAGTCTTCGGTAAATGCTGCCCATGTCACTTGCACACACGTTATTGTCTTCAGCAATTCTCATGTAAGGTTCAGTGATTTTTATGGAAAGAATACCAAGACATCTGACAATGGCAATAATGCATTTATTTTGCAAAGCACAAAGTATGAAATTCTGGATATGATTTAAAGTTGATTTTGTAGAAGAAAGATATTGCACTATGTGTTTCTTGAGATAAAATGTTCTTGCAGAATTGAAAAACACAGTATTGAATCTAGTGCCTCTGCAATTCATGATAGGAATTTTTGAAATGTTGAGGGTATCTTTAATATAGGTAGAAGTGAGCAGAGGATCTCCAGAGCCATCTTTATGGAAAAGTTTAGAAACTGAACGCAGAAGGAGAGACGTGTTTGATTCAGACCAGGCAGAGGAATTAATGTTTAATTTGTGATCTTTCTCTATGTTACATATTTCCTTAAGACAGACATCTGAGAATTGGAGAAGAGGGTGGACTGCACATTTAAAAGAATGAAACGTATCGTTATTTACACTTTTTCCAAGAAGTTTGTTAACTTTTTCTTCTGTGGCACTCCTGTCTGTCATGAAGTTTGAAATTTTTTGTAAAATTTGACCTTTATCAGAACTAACTGTATCGTTTAGAATTTCGTTGGTGCAGTCGACGTATGTGGAGCTTTTGGAGTCAGCAACTTCTCTTAAACCCAGTGTCAGTGTTTTTTGAGTGGTGGATACTTCAACACCATAAAAGTGTTTTCCTTTTTTTGTCGTCGCATCTCTGTGCAACGTTAAATTTGACTCCTGCTGTATTTCCTCTGCAACCTGAGCACGGCTCAAAATACCAAGTTCACTTGTCATATTTGAAATTGTACTTACTGAAGGAAGATCAGAAATTTGAACGTCTACTAAAGAAAGGACTTCTTGAATCAATGGATTTATGAGTTCCAGTGAAATGTTTCTGGCTCTGAAGAAGTAATACAATTTTCATAATTTTGCAGAGAAAGGCTTGCCTTGAGATTTATCCTTGGCATTCAATATGATTGGCTTTGAAGTGGAAGGACATTCATTGCATGTTTTGTTTTCGCTGTTTTACTTCATGAAATCCAGTTCTTGTTGTAAATCAATAATTGTTTGCTTTGTCAAATTGCATTGTGTTGATTTTTTGGTTTTAACATTTTTTGTGTTTATAAAGGAGATTTGATCCTGCAAAGTTTTCACATTTTTTTTTTCAAATTTATGATTGTTCTCATGTTTCTTTGTAACTTGGCATTAGCTCTATACATTTGTGCTTGTTTTTCTTGTAATTTATTTTTTAATTGAAGAATTTCATTCTGCAGACTGTTAATTTCATTGTTTGCTTTGGAAATATCTTTCTTGGGTTCAGATGTCTTAGGAAAAACAAATGAACAGGAGCAAAAAGAGTGATATTCCTCTTTCCTTCTAGAATTTTTCCGCAGTTTGTTCATTTCCTGGATGATGTGTTTTGCTTTGTTGTATAAACTAAATTTGTTTATTGTATTTGGGTCAGTTCTAGTTAATTCGCACATTTTTTCATGAAACAGGGAAACAATTCCACGACAGGAAAAGTAGATTTCTTTCATTTGTATCAAATTCATTTTTGTTTGACAGTTCAAAAATAATTGTAAACTGTAACTTAATTTTTACCTCACTTCCTAGTGTTTTGAAAGTAGTAAATATGGCATATTACAATATACAAAAACTTAAACTTGGTTGTAAAATGAATATATGAAAAATATTCAAGTGTATGTGTAAAATATTATTTTAGACTAAGAGAATTTAAGATAGTTACCTTTGAAATGAGGTGATGCACCAGAAAGTGCTCAGATGCAATTTCCACTATTCCATCAATTAACTTCTGCTTGCTAAAAAATTTAAAAAGAAGGATAAATTCTTCAAGGACATGATTATGTAATTAAGAGGCTGTCTATTCTATATAAAAAAAAAATAAAATTAAAAAAAAAAAAAAAAAAAACATACAATCTGGGGGAGGGGGGCTCAATTTGTAAACAGTCAAAAGAAAGAGGACTAAATTTATATTCTTCATGTGTGGAGCCAAGTACACACACACACACACACACACACACACACATCACCATAATACATGTATGTGAAATATATGATTTATGAAAACTGCACAAAATTATCATTGTATTTATTAATAAGCTCAAAGACAAATTTGTTGGACCCCTATTTCATTGGGGCTGGGGTGGCAAATTTTTATAGACACCTTTTTTCATGCACATGAGGACAGAATATTTTGATGATAAAAAAAGACATAAATTAAAAAACTTGACAAGCAAAAAATAAAAGAAAAAAATTATCTTCTCAAATATACAAAAATGTTGTGATTTATTGTAAAATTCACTTTAATAAGCAAAAAACATTTGCAGTTATTTTAGTTTTTCATATTGGAAAACAACTATAATATACTTCAATATTCAAATTCTTCAAAGTGCATACTTATAACAGGTGGTTGCGAGTGCTGAACTGGTGTTAGCTTAAAAGAATGGTGCATATATGCTATTGGTTGACAGACTTTTCTTGTTTAAAAGTTGTCTCTGAGAAAAATAATGCCAAAAAAAAAAATTGCAAGCATTTCTTACCTTGTTTTGAATTTCATGTAGAGAGCTATAGAAAGCACTCACTAGTGTATGATATATGTATGATAAGACTAAACATTTATATGGTAAGAATTTAATTATTAGTTTTTCCTCTTAGTTTTAAAATTTGTAGAGAAACACACCTATGTAATACGTGATTTTTTTTTTCATATTGAATATTATGTTTCTCATAGACAACCATTTTTTATTCAAATCAGAAAAAATTATTTAAAGTTGATTGATACTTATTTAATTTTAAAAATCAATATTTAATATGGAAAAAAAATTAGCCTCATATTTCACATTGATCCAGTAATGTGGATGTGCTGTTATAAATTTGATAATCATATTGGTCTCAGGTATGGTGTGTTAGCCTAGATGTTTACTTTTAGTGCATGTTTACAAAGACTATTTTTCTAGGGTACTGTAGTATTTTCATGGTTTTTCTTCACTATATCTATAAATTTTAGTAGAGAATAATGTGTATATATATGTTTCAAAAATATTTTTGATAGCTGTACATGTTTCATTGAAGGAAACGAAGAAACATTAATTTTTTTTAATGAATTTCTTAACATTTATTTTTTCGTTTTAAAATGCTAACAGATGCTTTAGATGAACATGAAGATGGGTCTGTGGAGTCATGATTATTTACAAACAAATCTGAGTGTTTTTCAAAACAGTTGTCATTTTCATCATAAGACAGATCACATGATGTCAATTCTGGTTCAATGGTGGCATCACTGTCAACAGTAGAGGGAGCAACTGTGGAGCCGGTACGACTAATAGTTTCACTTTCTGTCAATGTCGCAGTTCTGTTGCTGTCAATATCAGATGGATTTATTACTTCTGGACTTTTACAAGTGCCAGCATGGCTAGCATGCACTACACAAACTTCACATTTGCACTCAATTTCCTCTCTGTTTAGTTCTTGAAAAACATTAGAACTTGGAGGGATTATAACATAATTATTATATATGTATCTTTGTAAAATAGCATCCTTGGCATTGGTACAGATGTTAAATTGACTATTGTTAGCATTTTCATAAAAGGGTGGTATGTGTACACAGAAAGGAGTGTCAAAATGAGGAGATTTAAGCCATACATATCTCTCCATTATTTCTGAAATAATACATGTATTCAGTATTGTCTCAAAGTAAAACGGACTATATTCAAGAACCATAACCCTTTTTAACAATTGTAATTGACAAGAAAATACAATGTCCGTTTTTATTTGTGTGCATATTTGTGCTTCTTCTTTTACAATATATCATAAAACAATTAAATGCAATTTATTTTTATGTTGTTCTTTACACAAAGCACAAAGAAGAACGAACGAGTAGAAAAAATTATCAGGTTAAAACTTGAAAGGGGGGTGAAGTCCGATAATTTAAGTGAAATATTTGCTCATTAAGAATTTTTCAACTTGTCAGACAAATTGAAAATTTAGTTCTTCAAATGTGCTGCACATAAAAACTATAAGTCACCACAGAAGGTGGAGAATTATATTATAAACGCAACAAGTGGACATACCTTGCAAAGTCATGAAATTTTACACATGTTCTAAACAACTTCCGGTAGTGAGTTATCGTTCATAACGTCGAACCCTAGCGGTAGTTGAAAGGCCTATATTAAATAGGCGGAGACTGACAATAAACAGATGCAAAATAAATCTGTGCATTGCACATGTTAGGGAATGTATAATATTGAGAGAAAAAATCAGATCGGTCGGAAGACGAAGCGTTCACTTCATATCAAATACCAAAAGGAATGCAATCTATAAATCCTCCAGCACCCAAGAAAACAAAATATTTCGCTAAATTTAACATTGCACGAAAATACCGGTAGTGAAAATGGTTCAAATCAGCCCCCGGCGCTAATACGAATTCTGCAGGCTTCCGTATGGATTTTTAAGGCTGATACGGATATACTCTCTCTATCCGGAACGCCTCTGTGTTTTCTTACCGCTTTCGTCGTATTTTGGCAGAGGAACAGTCATGAGCGAAAAAACAAAGTTCTCAATAAAACTAACTTTTTGAGGCACCAGGAAGCAGGTTAAGAGAACTCGAATACTTGTGTGGTTTAAATATCACCAACCGTCACGGTAGCTCAGTCAGAAGCGCGCTCACTCTGTGATCCAAAGGCTCTGGATTCAAATCCCGGCCGCGACTGACCAAAGAAATTAAAAAAAAACACAAATGTTCCTTCGCCAAGTGTACGGCACTTTGAAGTGAAAGTTGCGGGTCTTTCGGATGAGACCTTAAAACCGATATATAGTGACTTCTCTATGTGAGTGAAAAATTCTCCACCGGATCGTAAAACATAAAACATACAATCCATCATGTGCGACAAAATTGTCTCAATAGCTGCAGGATTGGTGATTATAATTATTGCTTAACGCCGAGTCAGCAATAACTCAGCCATATTTCGGCTGTATAAGAAGTGCAGGAAGGAAGGGTGGGTAGTACAGTAAAACCTTCATTCATAAAATTACATTTTGAAATTTTCAATTTCATTCCATCTTTGAAGATGACCTCATTCAGGTAGGACGGGCGACCGTTCTGACAATGCATGAAAAACGTGGTCAAGGCAGTCACGTGACATGCTCTGGGCTAGGTTTACTACTCCATCAGATTTGATTCGATTAAATTATCACTGATAGCAACAATGGTTAATCAACATTCAAACAGAATACGCTTTCATTCTGCGGAAAAATATACGTATATGCATGCCATAATGATATGGTTTTTTTTTTTAAATAGAGATTTGATTTTAATTGAGTAGAAAAGTAATGAGAAGCCTTTTTGAAAAGGGGGTTGAAGGTAAATGAATGAAATAAAATATCAATATCTACAGTGTAATTTTAAATGCATGTATATTTTCTTGCACTTCTTAAGGTTGTCTTCCAAGTCTCCCGTAAGTGTTTAAATCAATCAAGGTCACGCATAGAACCTGTACATATGAAACACATTTCAGTCATTTTTATGCCCCGCCATGAATTTGGCCGGGACATATAGTGTTTGTCATGTCCGTCTTCCATCCTTCTGTCCTTCCGTCACAATTTGCGTTTAGCTCTGTTCAAAGCTCAGTTTCAAAGAAACTATCCAAGATATTTTTATCAAACTTCATATGCTGATAGATATTGATGAGAGCTATGCAACTGCACCAACATTTTTTGACCTTGACTTCACTTTTCTTAAATTAGTGTTTAGCTCAGTTTTAAAGATACCATTGAAGATAATATAATCAAACTTCATATGTGGATAGAAACTGATGTAAGCTATTGAACTGCATCAACATTTTTTGACCTTGACCTTTCTTTTGACCTTGACCTAACTTTTCTTAAATTAGTGTTTAGCTCAATTTTGAAAATACCATCCAAGATAGTGTAATCAAACTTCATATGTTGATACATACTGATGTAAGTTATTCAACTGCATCAACTTTTTTTGACCTTGACCTTTCCTTTGACCTTGACCTCACTTTTCTAAAATATGTTTTTAGCTCGGTTTTAAAGATACCATTCAACATAGTGTTATCAAACTTCATATGCTGACACATACTGATGAGAGCTATTCAACTGCATCAATATTTGATCTTTCCTTTGACCTTGACCTCACTTTTCTTAAATTAGTGTTTAGCTCAGATTTAAAGAAACTATTCATAATATTTTTATCAAACTTCATATGCCAATACATATTGATGAAAACTTTTTAAACTGCAGCAACAATTTTTTTACCTTGACCCTTCCTTTGACCATGACCTCACTTTTCTTAAATTAGTGTCAAACTTCATATGCTGATACATACTAATGTAAGCTATTCAACTGCATCAATATTTTTTGACCTTGACCTTTCCTTTGACCTGGACCTCACTTTTCCCAATTTGTGTTGTATTACTAATATACCCTCGGCGGGGCATTCATGTCCTATGGACATATTTCTAGTTGTTGAATGACCCCTTCTTCCAAAAAATTATAACCTAATTTTTATTTTTCATTTGAAAGAGTTCAATTAAGGGGACGACCACTGGGGGGTCTGAAAACAAATAATTTGCCTTAGAAAAATTTTGAAAATAAATAATCTGTCCTGGACTGACGAGAAAATGAATAATCTGTCCCTGGTTAGTGCTACCCCCTCCCGAAATCAAGTATTGGAGTTTTCTTTATTTTGGCTTGTCAGACTTTCTCAGTGAAAAAGGAAATTAATAATCTGTCCTCGGTCATCACGTAAATAAATAATCTGTCCTTCAGTAACATAAAAACCGTCACAGTAGCTCAGTCGGTAGAGCGCTTGCTCCGTGATCGGGAGGTCGTGGAGTTCGAATCACGACCGCGACTGACCTAAGTCGATAAAGAA